TTGATTTTGGGAAAATGTTCATCCTAACGGCATTTTTTAGTACAAGCAGGTAGTTGGGCTTACTTACATATTTCGAGTACGCTGAAATCATTTTTTGCTCTACCACGGCTGTATTAAGAGTCCTTGACCTTAAAAAATCAATTTCAAAATCGCCGCCATTGATTTTTTTTCATTTTACTTTAATTTTCCCATGGGCGAGATATATACCTATTATATACCTATATTGGCATTTTGATTTAAGGCTTTGTTAATTTTTTTTAGTCTGCTGAAGTGTGGACGGGAAGAATAGATGCAAAAACAATAAAATTTATTGCGGCAGCCATCTTGGATTTCAAAATGGCTGACAATTTCCTATGTTTTATACACTGTATTATAATTACAGTAAACAAGCACAAGAAGACATTTTACCAGGCATGTTTTCTTTTATTAGAAGTGCAGTGATACTAATTAAGACTTCCAGATTTTGAAAAACATCCATTAAATCTACAATTTTTATGGTGCAAAAAGGTCACAATTTATACCCTAATACAACGTAAATGAGAGTCATATTTGCGTTCACTTTGTCATTGAGATGTTATTTTTATACTTCTAACAAAACAATGCATGTTCTTTAAATTATTGCGATGTTTATTTTTAAATTAGATTGGTATCGCCCTGAAGGGGAGCTGCTCACATGTCTGTTTGTCTGTCTATCTGTCTGAGAGTCCTCTTGTGTCAGTTAGGGGTATTTGCGATCACAATTAGGCGTGTAGATTAATTCAGTATACTCCCAACCTATAAGATGAATCATTGGTTATGGGAGGCAAAAGGCTGCTTTTGGAGTAAGAAACAAACATGAAGATAACAGACATCTTCACAAATCTGTAAGAGCTTGTCCCTGTCTGTCCGTTTTTAATCCCGTCCATATCTGTCATTTTTGGATAGATTTTGAAATAAATTGCATTAATGTGTAGCACATTGATACATGTCATAAGAAAGACCCAGGTTTGAAGCTCAACTCCTCAAGTTAGACTTGAAAGTGCTAGAAAAAAGATGAGCATTTTAGTATTCTGTCATTAAGAGATGGATTTTGAAAATGTTGAGCATAAATATACGGCCTATAACGGATTGGGAAATGATGTACGTTATATTATTACTTAATCTTCAAACAGGGATACCATGAAAATCGTTTGGTTATTTCTTATGTCAATGTCAATTGCGCAAGAACATGTACTGGGACGTGTAGTGATTGAGAGCCAATTCAACAGTCCACAGATCAGGGTCATGTCTATCAAGAAGTTTGTAAAAGTGCATTAGTCGGGAACCCGGTTAACAATTTTCCATGCACGACATGATATTTAAAAATAATAGAGTTAATGTTTTTTCTTGTAAGAGAAATATTCCATATGGGGTTTATCCCAAAGAAGCCCCTACATACTAGTGCCGAACTTCGTGCATGTGGATAGTATTCCATTTGCTTATATAGGTAACCCGACAAGAACATGGTGGTTGAGGCCCCTGTGTTAGGACTTTTGTCGTCTATTTTGTTATCATGTGGTATTAAATTATCTGTCTTGATTGACCTAGAGCAGGCGGTGTACGGGTAAAAATATTTAAATCTTGTTAATTGTATCTGCCGCCGTCCTGGACCGACAATAACTGTGTAAATGTGTAATTTGAAAAGGTGATGCCTTTTGAAATAATAATTCTGCATAAATATATGGCACATTTGGAAAATGAGTCACATGTAAACCCATATGATGATGTAAAAGATCAAAATCATACTTTCACTTCGAACAAAATATTTCCTTAAAGTGTCTTAAAAGTCTGGTTAACGATTTTGTCATTCGTTGATGAATTAAAAATCATCTGGGATAAATATGGTGCATCTTTGTAAGACGACATGTAGCGGACAAATGTTTCAAGGTCACACTTGTATTTCAAAAGTCATGGTATGAGAGTGCATTTGTGGCCATGTCCAGGCCATATATATGTATTATTCAGCGAGAACTAAGAATAAATACGTGGTACTTTGTAACAATTTGTCTTGAGTGAGAGAAGAATTGTCGCATAAAGTAAGATTTCAGACATTAAAGGTCATATTTTGAAGGTCATATCCTGTCATTAATTCTGTCATTCATTAGGAGGATATTGGCATAACTGGGCATACATTTGTGGCACATTAGGACTACTTGTAATGCTTAAACTCTAGGTTGAAAGCTAGATAGGTCAATTTAGAACATTGATGGTTGTGTCTATATCTTTGTCATTTATTCATGGATGTTTTTAAACTAATAAGGTTTACTTTAGGGATTCTATATTTATCTATTTTACTGAAGATATAAGTAAATGCTTCTTAATGTTTCTAATGTTTGTAAAACTTGTAAGACTACAGTAACCATGCCTTCAATGTAAACAATGGAACACAAGATTGACAAGGAAAGTGACACACCCTTGTTTATCTTTGCTTTACATAATTGTCAGGATAGTGCAAAAATAGTTGGTACACATTTTAGTGACTAAAATTACACTAAGAAATACCAAAGTAATTTTATGGAGTGATAGTAGAAAAAATATGAGAGTAAATAATTATATTGTGGCAAATGACATCAACATATGTTATATCATAATGGAATAAGATACTCATCAATTTCTTGAAAGATAGCCAATAAAAGAACATAACAAGTATGAAGATTTGAATATACATGTATCTTAGTCACTTGAATGATTTTAAAACATGAGATAGAATAAGGCGCAGCGTCCTTGGCAAAGTGACATAATTATAATGAAGACGTTGATATTAACTAAGACAATGAATGAATGAATGAATATCAATGAATTAAGACAAAACGCAAAAAATCTCGTATTATCAGTTATGTTAATAACATTTAAAGACATAGGCTTCGACGGTATATGTTACATGATTTAGTAGCAAAAAAAAAACAAAATGCTCTATCAAATCATTCTGTGTTAATAAAAAAAAGGTAAACAGGAGTGATTCGTCAATATATTAATTGCAGAATTGGTATCAATTATCTGTCTATTCTTCTATGCATGTACCATAACAAATACCCGCGGTAGACCTAGCTAAAATGTTTTACTCTATATTATTCATTAACCGTAAGACAGTGCAAGCTCGTAGACTATTTATGGTTCATGTTTGCGAGACTTTTTTTCAAAGTGAAAGATAATAAAGACTAATATGACTTTACCATTTATTTGAGTTTATTTCAATTAATAGATAGATGATCTGTTTTTAACCATGTCTAGGCATGTTTAAAGATTTATTTATAAATACAACCCTTTTTAAAGTACCTATATCAATAAAACAATAAAAAAATATCGTATAAACACATCTGCGGATGTTTCTAAATTCCAAATTTTGCAATTCCCCTTTGATATATGAATTTTGCGTAGGCCGGTGCTAGAGTGCTTGGACGGTACCTTGCAATTTCAAGCAACGTCCATGTACAAGCTCCATGAAATCGAACCTAGAACATTTCAATTTTGCCGTTTTGATCATTTTTAGGGATTCTGTTGTTGTTTTTTTTCTATTTTAAACCATGTCGTACAATAGATATTGTTGCAAAGACATGCGGGCCCAGAGCCATAGTCACTGACCTGTGAAGATGGCAATATTGTAAAATATTTACATACTGACCTTGACTTTTGGCATTCAAATTATAAAATGACCTAGTGTCCACAAAGGTTTACACAAATGCTAGTCTATCAAAATAAAAAAAATTAAACATCTAATGGTAAATTAAAATTTGCAGGTTTAATGTAAGACATTTGGGAAATCAGATACCTGATACAGATTTATTGTCCAAAAGGAATGACCTGTGATAGTTTGAAGTAATGATGTAAAGTAAAGTGTGCAGCATACCTAAACAGTGTGTACAATTCGACATGACATGTTGCTTATATCATTTTACAATTTTTGATACTCATTCCTACAAAAGGATCCATTTGTATAAAAGCACTTTACTTATATTTGTTAAAAAAGGTGTCCATTTTGAAATCAAAGATGGCCGGCACAGCAGTCAATGTGTAAAGCATGTATAATTATCAGCCAATTATTCCTAAAAGTAATTGAAACTTTATTCCACATAGATTAACGGACATACGATACGATATGTACCAGAAATAATAATTTTTTAAGTAGATGGTAAAGGACAATGGCGGCCATTTTGATTTGACCTTTAGAAGGTCAAGGACTTCGACTACAGCCGTGGTAGAGCAAAAAATGGATTCAGCGTACCCGAATTATATAAAAAAGATTGACTACCTGCTTGTACTAAAAAATGCCGTTAGACTCTTAACGGAGGGTCTTTTCTGAAAATCAAACCCGTCTATTAAAACATAAAAGCTAAAAATCTTTTAGAAGAACACTGCTTTGTTTGGCACCCAAGGTGGGGCTGTGGCTGACTATAGCTCAAAGTTTAATTCACATTGCTCTGTAACTCTGTTAAATTCGAGGACGATTTTCAATATAGCAGGGGCCTTAATTGTTGCAATGACTGTGCAGGTTCATCAGTTTTAGGTCCTGATTTCACAAATTATGCTATAAGGCCACATATAATTGTATTTGATCTCATTGTAGCCATTAAGGTAGGATAAGACCATGTTGTTTACATGTTCATAAGAATAATTTTTCATTGTTTTATTTCAGGAACTTACCTATACATAGAGACAAGCTCTCCTCGTAAGCAGGGAGATAATGCAGTAATACAATCACAGGAGATACCTATAAACCCCCAGTACTGTTTCTCTTTCTGGTACTTCATGCATGGAAGCTCTGTGGGGTCCCTCAATGTAAGCTATCAGCTACAGAATACACCAACAACAAAACCGGTGAACCACCTCCGTGGTCGAGGGGTTAGAGTCGATGACTTCTAATCCAGTTACCTCTCTGGCGTGGGTTCGATCCCCGGGAGATGCTTTGGTAGTTTAGCGCGGAGGAAGGTAGTCTAGTACTGGTGTAACTCTCCAGGAACGATGGTTAGGAAACTACCCGCCCATATGACTGAAATACTGTTGGAAAAAGGCGTAAAATGAAACAAACAAACAAACAAAACCGGTGTGGAGTATGAGCGGTGATCAGGGAAGCATTTGGAAACAGGCAACGGTCAATATTAAAAACACACCAGAGAGTTTCCATGTAAGTGCTCATCATGAAAAAAATTTGAGCCAATGGGGTTTTAGTTTAAGAATAGTTATTTAAGTTTGATTTGAAAACAAGTTTGTGAAAGTTATATTAATTACCTTCAAGTCTGTTTCCTGCAGCTAACTTATATATGATGCACATGAGAAAACATTTTCACAGTTTGAAAACTCAAACATGTATAATCTTGGATTGAATGTCACAAGGCCACAATTCCCTTACAAATGGGTTTGTCTTAAAATGTGATTTTGTCTACATTTATAAACCAACCCTTGTCTGGAAATTTGTCATCAGTATTTTGTAACTGTATAAAAACACATATTGAAATGTTATTTTATAGGCTAGATAAATAGGGATTGATATATATAGTCTAGTCAAATTAGCCCGAAAATCAAGCTAACCTAGAACTAATTGCAAAAGTTTTTGTTTTGGTATTTTATGATGGTACCATATCTGCTTGATATTAGGAAAAAAGTTGCACTCTTTTGCTGAAGGGGAAATGTGATAATTCTAGCTTTCAAGTTGACACCCTTAAATTTCAGTTATAAAATCGGCGTAATTTGTTAATTTCCGATGATACTAAAAAAACACTTCTATATATAAGTTAAACATATTTATTACATGCAAACTTCATACAAAAACATTTTTGTACATGTTGATACAAAAATTTATGCATTTAAAATTAACTAAAAAAAATTTTGGTGGGCAATTCTATGACAAACTGGTGTCAAATTACCCCACCCACTTTATGTTAAAATTTTTAACCAGTCAAATTCCGATATATAAGCAGCAAATCATACATTCCATGTATATTTACAGTAAAAACAATACATAATAACATATTTATGCATGAAGAAGTACTTTGTAAATTATGTCAACTGTATTCATATGAATTAAAATGGACATACATGTGTATTGTAAATTATGTTTTAGATAAATGTTGAATAATTCAGGTACACTTTTGTTTAGCTAACATTCTGAACATCCAACGCATTTTGAATAATTTGTTTGTTTCAAGCAAAAAAAAGAACAACAACAACAAGTAAGTATAATTAAGAGCGAGTAACAATTACCAAAACTACAGATGAAAAATACTATGCCCGGTCTATGGAGAAATTGTAGTATATACATTTAAGTGTCACTTGTTGAAATTTGACATTACACACGGAATAAAACTATATTACAAATGTACAAATGTACCGAAGAGCTACCTAATTTGGCAAGCAACAATGTAGTGATAATAAATATAAAGAACACGAATATACAGGCTGTTTCATTCACAAGAACTACATTTTTGTCACATCGATATGTACACTTAAATCACTTTAAGTATATGGTAGGGTTATTGTCATGCTTGTACTAACACATAACAGTCTACAACATATAAGACCACTTCTATAAATTTGAAATTATCGTTCTGTATTTCAGACAGTATAGTAATACATTTTTATTTACAATAGGTGAACTTTGACATTGACAATTATAGAAAAAAAACAGTGTGTTGCAACACAAGCAAATATAAGAAAGCATTGATAAGTATGTATTCAATATACAATCTAACTCTAAATATACAATACTATTGTACATTTGGAGTTAGATTGTTTCAAACATTTTACTACATTTATTTATGTTATAGCGCATAGTTTGGTGCTAGTACAAGTGATAGACACCTGCATAAATTTTAGTATAATTTGACCCTGGATAAAAGAGTATAACTACAATACTAAAGAACTACTTCATATGGCAAGCAAACAGAGTATTATTATAAATCTTTTGTTTTTATTAAAAGCTACTTTGTATTTACTTCGCGAGGAATATGAGACTGTTCAATATATAGAACATATTTGTCTGCAAAGTTTTATATGAATAACTTAAAGTGAAACCTCTATTGCTTATGTAAAAACAAGATGCCAGATGCATGTACATTGCCAATAATAACACAAAATATGAATACATTTCAATACAAAACAGGTAAAAATTGACAACTTAGTTCTAAGAGCATTGCGTCGATACAAGATCTAGTCCTCCATGTCTGCAAAATCAATATCTGAAATGGACCGACAGTTTGAACAGCTAATACAATGACATTCTCCACAACCAACCGAAAATTCAAGGTTATGTTTGCGACAGGTACATCTCTAAGAGTGGCATTTTTTGCAATTGCATCTGATAATATTTAAAAGAAAATCTGGAGCAGCGGGTTGTGTAGATTTTGTGGGTAAAAGAGTCCTTCGAGAAGTTCCTATCCCCATTCAGTTGGATCTAATTTATCATTTCCAATCCATGTTTGTGTTTGAAAATATGACGGTAAAGAATGTTGCGCCGCAGCATCAGACGTAGGCGGAATGCTTTGAACTTGAATAACAGATCAACTTGACATGGGTTTGATTACAAATTTGTGAAATCTCAGTCTGTTCAAATTTATCTCCCTAGCTCCATCATATAATATCCTCATGGCATTTTCATCACCTGTAATAATTTCTTCTTTGTTTGTTGAAGAATGAAATATTGCAGCATTTTGCCGGAACACTTCATTTTTACACATTATTTTAAGAACTGTCGCAACCAGAGAAAGCGTGCAGGAATGGTAGGAGATAACAAATCTCTATTCCAATCATATTTTGGTGTCTTTTGAATATATATGCCACACTATTTGGGTTTTCATTGTCTGATCTGAAATATACATTCTTCGAATCTGACGAAATTCCAAAACTGACAACAGCCTGTTTAAAACAACATTTCCCCACAGATTGTTTCTCTCAGAACATTTGAGTTGTATTGTTTCCTGCATCCTCGGTAACCCAGGCTATTTACCGTATACATATATCAGTAATAATATTAAATGTAGTATACCGTGGGTTCCGACGATGTGTTTCCTGAAAATCAAAACTTCTACCAGGATGAACATCTACGTTTACCAGATGCAACTTTAGCAGGCTTACCACAGAACAAGCGATTACACTTAAAAGCAAAGTTAGCATTTGATCTTAAAGGTCTTTTAACTTGGTTACACTTAACATTGGAACTATTTGAAATGTTTCTATTGTGAATAAAATCCCTTCTACAGTCTTGGTGCACAATTTGGCCTGTAATTGTTCGTATACTTGTATACTTGAATTCCTCAGATCGCTAGCATGGTTAACACTGTTGCTTCCCTTCTCCCTGAGAGTGACAATTGGGACCCATTCTGGATATCCTGCGCACAAAATACGCACGTTGTAGAATCTGAAAGCATATTTTAAATCTACAGATCTGTATATATTATTATTTTGTATATGCATTATTTCACAGTAACAATAGTATTATGTAGTGTAAAATATGAATATACATCATACATGTATATAACTTATGAAATATGTTATTTTATATATGTTTGTGTATTGATTTTCTTACTATTCAGACCAATATCGACACATGGGAACATGATGAATGTATAAACCATCTGACATTGGTAAAAACAAAATATACCTGTTGCCATGTTGATATTTACTTGTAGATCCCGAAATCAGAAATGCACAACGGGTTTCTGAAAAAAAAAATTCAGTATAGAAATATTCAGTATAAAATGTGCATTTATTTCAGCCTACCTTAAATAGCCTATGTTATTTCCCTGCATTTAACATACATTAAACCTTTGTCCGAAAACTTAATGGCAAGCATGTGTATATTTACAGAGAAATTGTCATGAGTTTTTATTAATTTAATATACAGTAGTCAGTATAAACATACCGAAATGCAACGCCCTTCATATCGTTGTTTGTTCCATCAGCATGGTTTGGTAATGTGGCTTGTATCATCTATAGAAATAAAAGACATATTTTGTGAGAAATCATGTATGAATTTAGCATATATTGCATCAACGATACTCAAATGACATAATGGTGTGGTCTATTTCACATAATAGCATATTTAAAAAAAGGACAAGTTAAAACAAACATTGTTCATATATTATAGATAGAAATTGTGCATAGATAATACTTAAAGTATGACTCACCTTGATACAAGAGACAGCTGAACATTAGATAATCATCATATGACCATTGGTGTGTAAATCATGGATGTCCTATCTGAAATTAAGTATTGATTTTATTTATGTACATTTACATGTTTAATAATGCAAAATATATATCTAAATATAAATTTATATATACGTACATGTAAATCTGAATATTGTTTTATATACTGGTTTGGGACCACCAAAACCAGACAACCACCAAACCCGGACGGCCCCGAAAATGCTTTATTTAGTATTTTCTTTGTTCAGTGGTTGTCGGTCACTTTTTCATCAACAATAAATGCATGTTTCTTCTAAAATTAAGCAAATAAATTTATTTCAACCTACGTAAATGGTAATATTTTTATTGTCTATTTATAGAATGTTGACGTTGAAATTTGAGGGTCAAGAAAGCAATGCCTGACCTCATATACCAGCTATAATCATTTGCAGAGTAAACAATAGAATATCCAAATCTTCAGCATTTGTTGCTGAAATATTGTATATCATGTTAAAAATCTAAAATCAAAATACCCCAAGCTTTTATCTTAATTAAATCACGTGATGTACATATCTGTCCGGACACATGGTACTGTAGTGTAGACAATTCAGGTAAATTTGATACCCTCCTTGTGGAGCCTCAGATATAAGTGTCAATACAATCAGAAATAAACAAACTAGTTTGTTAGTTAGGAGAAGAACCTAGCTGAACTGTGTCAAAGTTTAAGGTTAGGTTTCTAGGTTAGAAATTATGAAATTTGTACGGAAAATTGTTCAAAAGGTGTTCGTTTGATGGTCCCCGACCAGTACAATAAAAATACCTTGTTATAAAAAATAATGCATATTCACGACGTAAATTATGTCCCGTTTTGTCTTCCGTAGATTAAAAAATCGTGAAATTTGTTAATTTCAAAGTAACAATATAATGTCGAAAATACAAAGTTTTCATATTAAAAATGTCTTATTAACATCGTTTTCTTGTAAATATATATATATCGTTTATTTTAGGAATAGAATAAAATCAAATACTAACATTTACTGGTGATATTAGTTTGCTGTTTATTTCCAAAAATATTTAACATAAAATCGTAGTTATATTTAACTATGGCACTTATTGTGAAAGTAAAATTGCATAAATGATAAAAGTAAATGTAAAATACACAAAACAAACTTACCTTTGCCATCCAAACGCTATTGTTGATGAAAAATGATATTTATTTTTCGACGGAAGTTTCACGAAATCATATGACAAGTTTTCAATGACGTAAAATTGTGACGTCACAGGAAAAAACTGCGTGTATGGTGTACAGTTCGGGTCTTAAAATATAAAGTTAAAATTCATGAACTTTGAACGCTTGTAAAAAAAGTTGTGCACAGAGTTATATGTGCAACTTTTTTTCTGACATATACATATACCAGACCTATTCAATGAACAAAGATTCAAAACTTTTGCAATTAGTTCTGGGTCATATTTTATTTTTACTAGACTAATAGTAAAATTGATTGTTTTTATATATCAGATATTAGTAGCAGCTGATGTAGGGAGCAGTTACCTTGGTGATATAGCTGTAGATGACTTCAAACTTGATCAGACACCTTGTAGTCTAGGTAAGTATTTATACTGCAAGTTTGAGATACAAGTAATTTTTGAAAATAAAATATCTCAAAATAGTGAGGTACAAGATACTGTGAAAGTAACATATCTCAAAAGAGTGAGATACAAGAAATAACAGTAAAAATATATCTCAAAACCTTTTGTTTCAGTGTGCATGTTCTTTTTGTGCTTAATATCCTCTATATTATAGGAATTTGTTTGAATGTAGAATAGAATATCAAACATAATATTGCACTTGAATTGTGCACATTGTTGTTTTTTCTCATGTTAAATCTAGAGTTCCCTCTTTGATTATCTTAGTTATATTATTTTTTTTCTG